CCTCCCTCTCCTGACGCGTTTGGGTGAACCATCAACCGACGGGCTTCTTGAAATGCTCCTACCACGGTCCGAAACAGGCGACCTTGCTCTGCGGCCTCCACTCACGGGACTCCGTGACGGGCTGTGGCGGTAAGCCCTTCTAGGCTCCCTGACAGGGCTGGGACTCGGACTTCTCCTGGGCGGGGCCCGGCCAGAGCTCCTGCTGAGACTTTTACGGGCTGACTTGATGGGGCTCCGGCTGAGACTTTTACGGGCCGACCTGATTGGGCTCCGGCTGAGACTTTTACGGGCCGACCTGATTGGGCTCGTGCTGACACTTTTACGGGTCTGCCTGATTGGGCTCCTGCTGACACTTTTGCGGGCCGACCTGATTGGGCTCCTGCTGACACTTCTACGGGCTGACCTGATGGGGCTCCTGCTTACACTCCTTCTAGAAGGTTTACCTGAGCTCCTGCTTAGAGATGACCTCTTGGATGGTGGTGGGCTCCTAGAGATTCTTCTTACAGGAGGAGAATATGCGGCACTTCTACTATGGCTATGAATAGAGCGGGTCCTGGCAGGGGGGCTCATGCTTGCACTTCTTTCCCTAGCGCTCCTTACCGGGCTTCTGCTGCTTTCACTTCTAGCGGGAGTAATGCTCTTGCTTCGAGAGACGGGCCGCGGGCTTCGGCTTATACTGTGGCTACTGCTCCTGTTATGTTTGGGAGCAACATCTGGGCTTCTTCTGGAAGCTGGGCTTGGGCTAATGCTCATGCTCTGACTTTTGGTTCTTCTAGGACTTAAGCTCCCACTCCTGCCCAACATAATCCAAGTAAATCTCCGGAATTTTGGAGGGAAAAATGGAGTAGGAAATGATACTGAAGCTACCCTTGAGGTTTTGATCATATTCCAAGAAACCCTGATGACTATGATAATTACAAATGCTGCTTTGTTGGGTAAACAGTATCTCTTCGAGGTTTGCATTTTCTTGATATATATTTACTCATTTGAAGATTCAAATTTGTGAAAATGGAAACAAATGGGAAGTGATATATGTGAAGTATGAAAGAGACCTTGATTTTTTAGTAATTAGACTAAAACCTCGAAATGCCCTTATAATACTCCATTAGTTCTGAAAATAACATAGGACCAAAAATGAAAAAGAAAACAAACCTAGATTTGCTGGCAGGATCATCTACAATATCCGGATGTCTATTGGCAGGTCTGTCCAAATCCGTTACTACTCCTTTATTATTATTTCGACGGTGTCCATTTTCTTTCGCGAACTCACCCTCCTCCCTGTCTGACATATCTGCAGCATCCCCATTCTTATGGCTAACTTTCTCATTTTCTCGTTCAACCAGAGATTGATTGTCTTCAGAGTGACATAGCACAGTAAGATATAACATTAATCATGTATGTATGTGTGTGTATGTGTGGTGGGGGGTGGGGTGAAGAATAGATCATGATGGGTAACTCACTAGTGTATATATGCTTAACATCAGATGCTCCAACTGCAACTTCATCTTGAGAGCTACCTCTCGACTTATTATCTTCCTCCTTGTCTGAGGCATTATCTCTACAACAACTTACATGTCTTTTATAAGTTAAAAATAATAAAGATAGAAAACGGTAAAATTTTCCAACACTGTAAGGTAAACAATCTTCACGTGCAGCCTGCTCGCATATTTAAAAAGAATTACTAGCTCCAACAAGTTTGCAAGGACAATATATTATTGAACAATATTGAATAGAAATAACCAGCAAGAATTTGGTCACTCGATCAATGAAGTTTGTGTACCTTTTAGATTTCCTATTCTTCTTTCTCTGCCTCCTTCTTTTCTCACGTCGCCGATCCTTCTTTCTTGCACGCCTATGCCTGTCCCTCTTGGATCTCTTACGTCTCTTACGACGATCATCACTTGAAGAGCTGGTGTCACTTAATGAGGAAGCATCAGTATCAGAATCAGTATCTGATTCCGAAGAATCCGTATCAGTATCTGATGAAGTATCTGATTCGGAGGTATAGTATCTTCTTCTTTTTCTCTTTTTCCTTGAAGATTTCTTGTGCTTCCCCTTGCGTTTTACCGAGTGATTATTTTCCTCTACAGCATACTTCCCCATTTTCAAGTTACTCTCTCTCTCTTTATCTGTACAGATCAGGAATTGATTCATAAAAAGATGATAAAGACCTAAAGCAAACTATGAGCTGCAACATAGAATAATTCATTAATATGCATAAAAATAAAAATAAATCGTACCATCATGTAATGCACCAGAATTGACTATTTTCACCGTCACAGCAGGGTTCCCCTTATCATCTCCAGCATCTTCGATCTTTTTCAACAATTTATACCCATGCACAACTTTACCGAAGACAACTCTACTCCTGTTGATAGAATCAATCAGGTGTAAACAACTGTTAAAATAAAATTATGTAAGCCATGCAAGCAACAATAACACCACAACTTAAAAGAATTGAGCTCCCTAGTTCAAAGTTTTTGCTAAATGAACTCTCAGATGTGGAACAATGGAAATTCACCCAGTACCTAAACTCATATGGCACAGGAGTCGTATTTTTCGAAGTATCAGGCTGGAATTGGTAGTTAGTGATGGGAAATCTAACAGCTAGGACAGATGATACATCAAAGATGCTAAAACACGAATGGGTACACAGTAAACTGAGAAACTTAGATGAAATTATGCAACATAGCCAGTTTTATTGGACGTTTCAGTGAACTTATGAAAGGATATGTTATGCATAACAGGAAGACTAACTGAAAAATGTTCTCTCCATAACAAGAAACAACTATAGATTATAAATAACTGCTGTCGACATAAAATCTTACTATATACACTAAGAAATAAAATATCTAAGAAACAATAGAAGAACAAACCTATCAAGACGATGATCAGCATTAAATGTGACAATGAACAAAGATCCCTTTTCATCACGGTCAGCAATTGCCATAGACAACAAACCAGCAGCATTGTGACTCAAGTTTGGAGACTCATCTGAAAGTTGTACACGGATCAGTTTTCAGTGTCGAAATACTGAAAGCAACAATAGAAAAACTCTTGCACCAACCATTTAACACAAAAGAGATGCATGATACCAGAAAACATCAGTTGATTTCCCGAGATTATATAAAACTTGCAAAAT